ATATATAATAAATATAAAATAAAATATTATATGTCTACGGTTGTAACCACTGTACAGCTCCACACTCCAGTCAGCAGGTGGCGGTAACGCACCTACGAGCTGGTTTGCCAACCGCCATTAGAGCCCGAAGAAGACGAAACGTTGTTTACAACCGTGGAAGCACCGGAAGACTCGGTTTCGGTAACGGTAACGTTTAAACTGTTTATTTGCTTATAACTTTTTACGTGTCTTTGCTGGAGTAGCTTTCTGACATGCGCATAAAACCTGACACATTAATTAAAATACAAAACCAACGAGCGCAACGTCCGGCTAGTGGCAAGAAGTACAAGGACGCCATAGTATGGTGACCATGCGTTGAGTTCGCTGTCGTTATGGTATTTGGCCTACAACGTTTCATCGTTTAGAACTTGTAACCAAGGCGACAGTGACGACAGTTTGCTGTTGGGTGACGTAACTGGTCGCCACGAAGCTGTACACGTGCGTGTGAACGTCAGTCGGGGGTTAAAATTAGCCTCCAGTGCTAATCTGTAATGTCAGGTCTCCACTTCAGACAGTCTGCAACAAGATGTCACAAAATGGGCTCAGCACAGTGAATACTGCTGAAAGCTCTGTTCCGTTCAGGTCAAACATGGGCAGGGGGCTCACTGGTTGTCGGTCATTAGGGTCCCTGGTAACACCTGTGGTTTACCTTGCTGCTTCATGACAAAATGGCTGCTTTGAAAACAAAAAGGTGTAGTCACGGTTTACTGGGACGTGTGAGTGTAGCAGAGCCCTTGTTGAAGCACTGCACATTTAATTTAATCCACCGCGTTAGATATCACCTTTTAATGAAGGTTTTTTATGGCTCTTCAACCTGAGCAACGGTCTGTGTGAGCAGACCTTTAATATTATTAATAGCAACACCTAGAAGATAACAATGTCTTCTGTGAAAAAGAGTTAAACTATATCATCAGTGGACAATCATCTCCCCTATTGGCCCTAATTATGTAAACTTTAACACGGGGCCCCTCTTAAAGATATTACATTTGTGTTAACGACATGAACACAAATCAAGTTATACACAATAGACCTCTTTTGACATATAAAAAAAAAACCATGGCTGTCAATAATAAAATGAATGTTGGCTGAAATCCATTTAGCTGCTTCAGTTTCAGAGTCCTGGTTTTGTGCCTACTGGCTCACTGTCTGTCTTATTGGGACACATGAAAAGAACAAAGCTATTCATTAATGTTATTAGTAACAGCTGTGCTTTGTATACTACTAATACTGTCAAAATGTCTCCTATCAATCTGTTTTTACATTCTCTTACGATGAGATGGGACAATTTGACTTTACGATGAAGGAATTCATTGTTCAGACTAAATTTAAATGTACAGAATAAAAATAACGATTTGAGATGTTTTTTTGTTTTTGTTTTGAATCACTCTCATACAAACATCCTGGTGAGGAAACATTTACTAAACGTTTTATTCAGGTTTTGCTTTGCCATTAATCTGTATAATGTCTGGTGTTTCCTCTGTAGGTATAATGCAGTCTCCTCTGCGCTGGGTGCTGTGGGATGTGAAGGACACCCTTCTGAAGGTGCGTGCGTCTGTGGGAGAGCAGTACTGCAGGGAGGCTGAACGAATGGGCTTGAACCTCAGTCCTGTGGACGTCCAAGCCGCTTTCCTCCAGGCGTATAAACAGTATTCCAGGAGATACCCAAACTATGGCGTCACTCAGGGCCTGGATGGACGGTCTTGGTGGATCAGAGTCGTGCAGGACACTTTCTCCAGGTGCAGGGTACAGGACCCAGCCCTGCTCCATACAATGAGTAACAACCTTTATCAGAACTTCTGCAATGCAGAGAACTGGGAGGTAAATGACAGATGGTGATTATGGATCTGTTTAAAATGGACACTTTGTCAAGTATTTCTGCACATTTCTACTAATGTTTGCTTTTTATATGAATGTGGTGGACAAAGTAGCACAGAAAAGTTCAACTTAAAACTGTGTAATGTCTGTTTTAGGTATTTCCAGACTCACAGAAGGCACTGGAGAGCTGTTCCTCTCTCGGACTGAAGATGGGTGTGGTGTCAAACTTTGATAGTCGCCTAAAAGAGATTTTACGTGTTTGTGGCCTGCTGTCTCACTTCAGCTTTTTAATAACGTCCGAGGAAGCAGGTGTGCCAAAGCCGAGTCCAAACATTTTTCATCAGGCACTGCAGAAATGTGGAGTACCAGCTGCTAGTGTAGCTCATATCGGGGACCACTATGTGAACGATTACCTTGCCTCTCGGTCTGTGGGTATCCACGGGTTCCTGTTAGACAGACACAACAAGTGTAACCAACCGGACTTTCCTCAAGAGCATCGGCTCAGCTCCTTGGAGGAGCTGCCATCACAGCTCCGGCAGCACATAGACTAATGCCAATCAGCCGTGGGCTCAAGTGCAAAGCTACTCAGCCCGACTGTGGTTCAGTTAAGAAACTAATTTCTGTGACTGACCTGAGTGGGCTCAACCACGTTAGAGCTCTCTACATAGTTAACAAATGTATTGAACCAACGCAAGGTCTGTGTTGTCATATAAAAACTGTATCAGTGTGTAATTGTCATGCAGATTTATTGTAAATAAATTGGGAGCAATAAATATTTATGAATTGTCTCATAAAACTGCCTGATTTCATCTGATGACGAGATTAAAAAAGGGTTTTGAGACTTGAAGAAAAAGTTTATATTGAAAAACATGTATACAAACATCAGAAGTGATACTAATACTTCTTATAGCACTAAGAATTTACAAAACAGGATCATAATAAAAACACCACTGTAAACAATAGGCAACATAAAAGTGGGGAACATAACAGATGGGTGACATATTAAAAGAAAAAAAGCATATAGTGTCTTAGTGAGGTGTTGGGCCACCGTCTGGGATACTCTACTGGAGGAATGAACATATTTCCAAAAGATATTCCAGCATCTGGCATTTAGTGTCTTAATAATTCCTTTTTAATGTATTTTGCAAGTATTTTGGGGACATTTTATAGCTTTATTACAGAGTTGATATTAGAAAAGACACAGGAAATGAGGGGAGGGAGAGATGGGGAAAGCCATGGTTACCAAACATCCCAGGTCCTTCTTTAGTCACCCATCTGTATTCATCTAGCCTTCCATATATTCACTTTTTCCAGTTAAAAAAGGTTTTGGTCTGAACGAATGATTGAATGATGAGTTATTTTGTGCAAGAGGTGGTGTTACAACATGTGCATGCAGGCAATTGACTCACCACTGTTCACTAATATTTTTACATAAAATCTGTAAGCTCCTGTGTTTGAAGTACTTCCTTTTAAATTCATAATCCCAGCACAAACAAACAGAGTGGTGAACTGATTGGATTGAGGAACACAAACCATATTAAACAGCAATAAATGACAAACTCTAATATACCATTAAGAATAACCAAAAATACAATAAATATTGTTGGGCCAGATACTGCTGTGTAGGTGATATGTGATTAAAACAATTTAATATCAATTTGGACTTTAAAGTAACATGTCCATTATGTAAAAGAGTTTTTGCCTCCTGTCCACACTAACCCTGAAAAGACCCCTTCCTGATACATGTCCCCCATCACTTACATCATTTTTTATTTTATTTTTTTGCACATGCACTATATATATATAGAGAGAGAGAGAGAATTTATAAGAAACAGAACAATGTGCAGATGAGAGGTTTGAAGCCAAACATGGATGATGAAGATACCTCCCCTTTATAAATATAATCATACTTTAAAAAGAGAAATAAAAACAAAGATTGTGTAATACAACATTCAAGCAGTTGACATACAATATTAATAGAAATGTACAATTATTTTACCCAGTGAAATACATTGCATATTATATTTACATTGTAATGCAATTAGGAAGGGATCATCCAATAACTTTTATGATGAACGTATGGAGTATGTGAGAATTATAAGATACTGAAAAAATGTGAACTTATCCTTTAAGTTGGATGAAGGTGAGGCAAGAGTGGAGACAGAAAGGATGTCAAACATACGCAATCATCACTCTACAAACATGAATTTAAATATTGTAACATCACATTCATGCTGTATAAAATGTGTCTTTGAGCAGCACTCAGGATCAGCCACCAGTGTAAAATCACATTATTTGGGTGAACTGACCCTTTAATTCAGAGGTGCCCAAGCTTTTTCCCTTGAAGGGCCAAGACTGAAATGTAATGGTCCAACATTTTATTGTCAAGACGTGAAATAGTGATAGCATCCCAAGTTCCCATAATTGACTGACTTCCTGTGACAAAGTGTCAAAATGCCCACTGTGCTCAGATTATGAAAATAAATTAATAATTAGGGATCCTACATATTCAAAGAGCAGTTTTACCTCACAAAAATAAACTGCACAAATAACAATTTATATTATAATTTCCTCAAATCAATTCCTTTTTTTTTTTTTTTTTTAAATTTCAGTAGAAACCTCTGGCGGGTCAAATTGAAACAGCGTGGCGGGCCCGCTATGGCTGGCGGGACCCACTTTAACTGAAGCTCTGAGCTTTCATCAATCCTAATGATTTGTTGCAGTGCTTAGCAGTGAGGAGAACAAGGCAGGGTTGCTTAACCCTAATACCTTTGTAAATACTCTTATTTCAAACCATCTGGTCAGAGGCAGATACTGGGAATGTTGGACTGAGGATCAAAAGGTCCAGAGGAGGAAGCAGAGGGGGAAAAAGACCAGAATGGCATTGCAATTCAAAGCAGATCTTCAGCCTCTTATGGGAAATCAGAATTGACACTTGTCCAAATCAGATTTCGAGAGAATTTCCTGATGACAACACACAGCTTTCCACTTCACGAAATGTGAATCACCACCCAGTTTGTAGTAAGTCTTGATTTCCCCTCTTCTTCTTTTTTTTCCAATTGATTTCATTCGTTTCCCCTCACACTCCTTTGTATGTTAAAGAGTATTGTGTATCTTTAGGGAATCGCCCACAAGAGCTGCTTAATTCAAAGCTGGTTTAGTAGCTCAGCCAGACGGCTCTAAAGGGCTCCACAGAAATCCAATTGCAGACATAATGGGATTGCAAAACAAAACGGAGCTCCTCGTGGAGCGAGCGAAAGCGAGGAGCAGAGGAGATGCAGCACCTTAAGGAAGGAAGACGTCTACCCAATGACATACAATGGAAATAAAATTAAAAAAGGATGTATGTGGCACAGTCTTGCACATTGAATAAAGGCTTTAACATGAATGGGTATACATTCTGTAAACTCAAAAACACAATAAATTAAAAAGAACGTAATGGCGATATAGAAGAGGGCTGAAACATTTCCTTCAGCTATAAAAGCACTCAAGAGTTCAGCTCTTTGTTCAATTGTGCCCGGGGTTCAGGGTTTCATGTTGCCATTTCTGAGTCTTAAAATATTCAGTGGAAGAGAAAAATAGAAGAGCAAAGCGTCAGGAAATCGGGGTATTTGAAGAGGGAAGGAGGAAAAAAAAAGAATAAAAAGAAAAAGCTTCAGAAGTGAAAAGAAGGTCACGCAATGAATCAAACAGCAGACTCCAAAGACGGAGCAGCAATTATTAAGCACATGAATAAAAAAAATATGCACACGCGATTGCATTTTTAATTCATTTCATTGGAAAACAAAATAATATAGGCTTTCCAATTGTGACAACAGAAATCTTACAAAGTTAAGGGTTAATGTATGAGAGGATCATCCTTTTTCAGACGATTTTGTATTGACACAGTATATACACATTGAATATTTCACTGTGGTTGAGATATTTACACATAAAATGCTGTAATAACAAACATCAATACATATTCTGAATGTAAATATCATCACATACTGTAAACAAAGACAAGCATATCATCCCCTCGGAGTCTTTTGGCATTTTAATACCATCACATTCATTTTATCATGGAATTTTTTTTTTTTTTTTCGTGTACACACGTCGTACCCGAGTCAGTTTGTAATCATTTTATATTCCTTCACCGATAATTTTTCCAGTTTTCTTTTTAAGAAATTCTTAAATATTTTGTTTTAAATGAACCTTCAGAGGCTTTTCTCTCTTTAAAAGTATTTAAATTCAAAGTAGAGGCAATGCTATAACACACCACTCTAATATAAAGTGTTTTGTGTCTTTAAAAATACAAGCTGTGATTTAGGTGCATGCATGCTTAGGTGGATTTGTACAAGCCGTGTGCCTCTTCCCTTCAGTGCTCATTCAGGCAAAAGTTAGAAACAAGTGTATTTGGCATCTCTCATTATGTGGACACTCTCTCCAAGTGACCAGTGTGCAGTAAGTGCAGTTTTTTTTATGAACAATGAGCAAGCTTGCAGAAAAGTGCAACAATACAATAGGACCATAATAATAATAATAATAATAATAATAATAATAATAATAATGTGGCCTCCCAGGATGTGCATGTGTCTTTAAAGTTATAGCCTGCAAATCAAAAACCTCTGATGCATGAACGTGTTCAAGTAACAGCTCAGGAATTAAAAATAAAACTGAAATATTTCAGCTTCAGTAGCAATACTGGGGTCAAATCATTTGAAAAAAATACCTGGATGATTGTTTTCTCACAACCATATTTGTGTACAGTTACAGATTGAAGTCCAGGGTTTTTTTAATACAACAGCAGTCAGTCCATTAAACAATTCCTACTCCTGTCAGGTGAAGTGAGTTCCTTCTTTAAAAACAGATACTAAAACTTCTTTAAAGCATCAGTTTTCCCCCCCACCAGAATTTCTTAAAAATGTCCTCTGTGCTTGTAGAGTTCTGATGAAATGTGTGCAAAGTTATTAAAAGACAAAAATAGGAATTGGGGTCTTCTGACTTAGGTTAATTCAATGATTGTTGTCCCACAGCCCAAAATAAACAGTGTTCCTATTCAACATCCACACAGGACGATTAATGGCCTTCTAGATCATTTCTCGTGTCCTCTAGGCCAGCCATAAACAGTAATCAGGACACGCAGAGCTCTTCCCATGTAGGATTTGGCAGCAGCTTCATCCTCAGAGCTTCTAACAGACTGTTGTAGTTCTGCAGGTATTTCCACAAAATCAAATAGTGAAGTAAACATGTTCCTACGGTGTTTCAGGTCAAAGGTCGCAGTCAGTGGGGGAAAAAAAAAAAATGTCATGGAGCATTTAACCTCCCACATCGAGCAGGCCTACCTTAGCCACACTGAAGATGGTGCTTCTTCGCCTCTGGCCAGGTCTGCTTGATCAGAACATGTGAGTACCTCTTTGAATGCAATCCTGAGGGTTTGTGGGCCGGACAAGACGAGGAAAACTAAACACGCCGTGATGCAATCAGCTCATGTTCCAGCAAGATGTCTTCTCAAACCACTGAAAGGCAAATAATAAGGTAAATTATTTTCATTAGATTTTACAGTCAACAAATCCCACAAGAAACAACAAAAGATAATGAATTGATCCTACTAATAAGTATTGTGTGTGAGTATCCAAAGCCTGATACATCTTATTCCTCTGAGCTATACAGCTCCACTGTTGTCAAAAAAAATATTAAAAACACATCAATGAGCCTCAATGTTGTTTCTTCATTACCATCAACATGGGCATTGTAGTTTATTTTGAGTCAACCATCTTGCTGTTGCAAATGCTCACTAGAGCAGCAACTGTGGATTAATCCACAGCTGAAAATAGTCCCCAACACATTTACTCAGTCAAAGTTACATACACTAAAAACTACAGCACCTCGCTGGTTTAAAATCCTTTTTTCATAATGAAACTATACATTTATGACCTGTTTGAATTTAATGTATTGAGAAACAGACTACCTTTTACGGGACTTGTTGTGTTTTTGTTACATTAACTGAGCCATTCCTACCAACAACTTTCTACGGAGGCCAGAACGGACAAACCAAACTCTGGCTATAGAAAGGCCCTATCTAGAGTCCTCCTATATGCTTGGAAAGCGAGCAGTACCAAAACCAAAAAATCCTACACACTGGTCCTTTCACAGGACAAATATATTAATAATTCCACGCTTATACCTCAATGTGTATAACATCATTTTTTATCCCCAACCACATTAAAACAATATGAACAGGGACACAGAGAGCCCATCTATCTGTACTCTTTGCCTTAATACATCCAATGTACAGTATGTAGCATTTACTGGACATCTACATTATACAGTCTCATTGCTCTCAACTTTGTCAGTAATTTGCCACCCCAACAACAAAATAGAAATGTGACCTTGAAAACACAAGAAATAAATAAAGTACCACTCTCAGAAGGATAGCAGGATGCTCCGTGCTTCTCTGGGATGTAGTGATGTGCGTGTCTCCTCCTGCGACAGTCCTGCCTCCACCAGCAACTGCACAAGAAAAGACGCAAATACTGGAAAATTCTCCTGACAACAAGCTCATTACTTCATTCCTTAGTTGGACAAATGTGTTCTGTTAAATACTGTTCAGTTTATCAGCTATAATCCCAGTGAACCTGTTAGTATAAGGTGCATGTTACTTACTGTAACAGTGTACACAACACCATGATGAGAACACACCCAATCACACACAACACCAGCACTGTGGCAACGGTCTGTTGTCTGTGATTAGTTGCTACTACAGCGAGCAGGTCTGCATGCTCACACCTCATCCCGACAAAGCCTGCATGACACCTGCAATAAGGTCGGAAAATCAAATCAGGTATGCATAAATACGTAAAAACAGCAGTTAATTGACTTTGTAAGTAGCACAAATCACAGTGTTATCGGCTGACAGGGGAAGTCCCAACACTCGTAGCTGTTTGTAACATCAATATCATATCTAATATCATAATATAACTGCTGCAATTCACCTTTCCAGTAGAAAAATAGTTTTGAAAAGTTATTGTTTTTTTAACCTAATACAAATTTTAACTCATAAATGTTCACGTTTTCTCTATAGAGGCATCATTTTGAAAAGTGAAAAGTGCTTTAAATTGCTAAAACACCAAAAAGCAAAAAAAAAAAAAAAAAGCAATGTTAAAAAGCAACTGTAAAAGAGGATGAAACATATTCTTTTGTAAGTTAAGAGTGCATTATCGGTAAATCTGATCACTGTTATGTCTGAAAGTGAACTGACAGTCGACTCAATAATGTGGGCGTTTTTATTTAAGACGGTAACAACTTACACACATGCAGGTGTCTCCTCTAAAATCAGGAAGCGACACGTGCCATGGAAGCAGAAATGGCGGTGGGAGTCTGGACAGTCGTCAAAGTGAGACCGAACAGCCGCTGCCACAAACTCTGTGAGGTTGTAAGACAAGACATTGTTAACAATTTCAGAGATATATACCATACATTTTTTCAGACCATAAAACATGCAAATATTTTCCATTGAAACCAATGCAAATTAAATCATTTTAGTTGGGTGGCCAGTAGGAACCGTCTACTGATATTTAAGTGGGTCACTTGAACTGATGACACAACCATCAACCTTTAGAAGTCCTTTAGTGCATTGGTTCACAACCTGGGGTCTGAGGACACCCAGGGATGCCTACAAATGGGGAATATTTTAATTTCACCATTATTTAATTGGCTATAATATTGACAGAATGTATAAGAATGACTATTCTGTTTATAGGTTTCACACTCTTCACTGTTAATCTGCCAATCTACAATACAGACAGTTATAGAATAACTAAATCTCATCAGCGGGGGATCCGACAGGCGAACATCTTATCAAATTAGGTTTGCCGCCTGATTTGTTTTAATTTGGGAGGCCTTGACACCAAAAAGGTTGAGAACCACAGCTTTAGTGCATGAATTCAACCCTAAATTACAATATCAAATATAATCAAAGTGCATTTGGTCCGAATACACACCATGACACAGGTGAATATCATAACTCTAAAAATAGCATAAGCCCGCAGAGACCTGAAACAACAGCATGTACTAAATCCTAAAGCTGACACCCACGCCACCAACGGTAGACTGAAGCCTTTTGTTACCAGTTGCGTGTGGATTTATGGTGGCTTACATCTCTCACTTTACCTGGGAGGGACAATTAGAGTCAAGAAAAGTCCCAGTGAGACGCTGCAAACAAAAAGACTCCATCCATCATCCCACATTAGGACTCAGGAGAGAGCACATCCCTGCAGTAACCACATTTCTCTAGCAGAAATTAAAGCCTTTAAGCAACTATCTCTGTTTTCACTCGGGACAGAAATATCTGATTAAATGAACGCCCAGACAAAACAGGACATTTCTTACACATAAGCTGTACAGTCAGACAAATTCCTACATAACTGACTCAAACAAAAGTCAGTGTTCCCCAAGCAGTCGAAACAGATACATAGTGTGGCATTCAGACTGGGAAGGAGGATGAACATCCAGACAGATAGCTGCATTACAGCCTTCGTCACACACTCCATTCCAACGGTAAATGGGCTTTTGGATTGCAGCCTACATGTATTGTCTCCTTCTTTCAGACTCTGTGAAAGCCCTCTGTTGTCCCTGAGGCATCTGCCTACCAACCCCTCTCTCATTCCATGTGATTTTGGCAGTGGAACGAGAGAAACATTGAGACACAAAACAGCCTTTAGGGCATGTAAGGTGCTTTTAATTTGATACTGTAGGTGCAGCTTTTTGTGAAATGGCTGAATGTACTGTTCATAATCTTTAATTTACCACAATGGCTACCCTCACTCACGCTAAGAGGATCAATTATCAGCGAGCGCCACACTGTCTGCATGTGTTGATGCACTGCAGCTCAATGGGAAGCTTTACAGTGTTGAGGACTCCGACTGTGGAAGCAACGCTGCAGTGAGAGCAGATTGAGGGCTGCAATGAGGTTTTATCTTAAAATACAGTGAATGTTTTACTGAAAATGGCTCGACAATGAGCTTGAACCTTCTCTTGCATCTTTACATGACACGGCTGCTGAGACTTACTTTTAACTGGAGGGATGATAGTTGTAGTAGTCGCAGTGGTTGTAGTAGTTGTGCCTCTTGTTGCAGAGCGGCTTGTTGAGGAGTTCGGAGCAGCAGTGGAGTTTGTACTGATGGAAATGCTGGCTTCAGTGATAGTTGAATTGCTCAGCTCTGCTCCAAATGTAAAGAGGGAAGCTATAAAGATGAAGATAAATGGCCATTAACATATGATACGATCCTAATGTGAAAAATCTAGAAATAACTGCAAGTCCCTGCAGGAATATAACAGCAGATACAAATGCCTGATGTGGATGCAACACTACAATAAGAGTGGATAAAGTCTTAAGAACATCGGACATATGACATATTGTTGTTTTCTTCTGGAGATGATAGAGAGTTTCTTCTCTTGCGTCTTCACGTGACACGACTGTGCTGAGACCTACTTTTAACTGGAGGGATGTTGGTTGCAGTAGTTGGAATAACTGTTGCAGCCGTTGTGCTTCTGCTGCCGTTTGCTGCAGAGGTGGTTGTCGAGGTGTTCGGAGCAGCAGTGGAGTTCGAATTGATGGAAATGCTGGCTTCAATAATTGTTGAATTGCTCGGCCCTGCTCCAAATGTAAAGAGGGAACCTGCGGAGAGGAAAACAAACCTCTGATACAGTGCCAATGTCAAATATAGAAATAGCAACAAATCCCTGCAGGAATATAATAACAAAAATACCAAGAAAGTTCACTGTAAACTCACCATTGAGTACCACAGACATACTAAAAGTACCTATAGGAATATAAAAAATATATATTACTGTATTGTGATTTCCCCCCCCCCCCCCTAAAAAAAAAGAAAACCAGCTGTCATATATGTTACTATATGATGAACAACCTTAGTCCCAGTAATCTGCCCCATACAGCTCTCATCATGTGACTCTTCAATGTAATATCGATGCTTCATTGAGTAACTGGTACCCAACAATAGTAACAGGGTCAAGCATCCACTAAAAGGATGAGACCAAAGCACTATAAATACAGCCGGTCTACGTGGATACACGCAAGCATAACTAGACTGAAACAAGCACATGAAAAATTTAAAAGTTGACAGAAACTCCAAGATCATAAGAAACATGGTGATTTTTATACTTTTTTTTCTCACCATAAAAATTTAGAATATAATACAAAAATCCATCAAATTAACACAACCACTTTAGTTTAAATATACCGTATTAACAATCAGTGACACCAGAGAGGATAAACAAAATACCATCAAGCAGAGTAAGCTCAATACAGCTAGTTAAATTAATTTGGAGAGCTAAAACACTTTAAATTGTAAATCTGTAATTTCCCAGCTTGGGATCAATAAAGTATATCTATCTATCTGTATTCGATCATCTTTATCTATCTAGTCTCATCTATCTAAAAGTTGTATATTGAAGATTTGGCATTGATTCTCATTGCAAGTCTTAAAGTGATCCAGTGACTTAACATGGAACCAAATAATTACTACTGGAGGACCCATATCTCTCATTCAGCTCTGTTAATCACTAATCAACTACATTAATCTAAAATAAATTAAATAAAATGAAGTAAGAATGAGGCATGGACACAAATGAAAATGCTTAATTTCCAGGAAAATGATCTACTCACCGCTTATGAGAAAGAGTGTATCCCAGAAGATCCGAGTCATCTTGACGACTTGTAGTCTAAACTAGTTGAGGGGCAGCTTCACTGAAATGCGGCCGTGTGTTAAGAAACCACATTAGTCATTAGTGTTGCAGCAGGCTGCAGGGCGAGCAGCAGCAACACAGGAAACATTT